TGTTTCTTCTCTCTCTCTCTCTCTCTCTCTGTAGCTTTGTATTTGTATGTTTCTTCTCTTCTCTCTCTCTCTCTCTCTCTCTCTCTCCTCTCTCTCGCTCTCTCTATTGTGCTTGCAATTGTAAAGATTATTTTGTGTTTACAATATTTTTGTTATCCCTTGAATCCTGCAACTCTTGGGTTGCGAAGCTTTGGAAGTTCAGATTTCTTGCCATGGTATTATTTTTGGTTGTTGGAACAGTTTGGCTGGGGTGTAGTTAAACGTTGGAACCTTGTATCGACCAGAATTTATTCTAACTGGGGTTCAAAAACTTAGACGTGGTGTGGTCCCTAGCCATGTCAACTAGCTGTGTCCCAAGTTGTTTTGACAAGAAATAATACTTTGATAAAAATCTATTAAAATATTAAATTTCAAGACATGGCTAAACATTATGAATGCTGCTCAAAGATTTGGGACCTCCTTAGATTCTTCAAAAAGGCTTTCTTATTATGAGCTTTTCTATTTGAAAAAATAGTAGTTGGCTTAGACAAGTTGACTTGAATGAAACTTGAGTCTTTTGCAGGTTTTAAAATTTTTATTTTATAATTTTATTAAATAGCTTTTTATAATATCGTGCACGGGTAAGTATTTTTTATTTATTGTTTTTGTAATATTATTCATCTAGAAATTTTATCTTCTTCTAACAATCAAAAGAAAAAAAGTTGTTTGATTTTGGTAGAAGTAAATCATTTGACCTAGGGTGGATGTATGGACATATTCTTGATCCCAATGAGGAAAAGTTGGAGTCTTAATTGAGCAAAAAGAGGAATGCAATTTATTGGCCAAATGATAATAAAAGAATTTGGCCCATTGATTCCCTCTCCTATAACTCTTACACATACTTGGATATTCAGAAAAGACAGGATGGTGTGAATCAGTTAAAACAAACAACTGCACACATGAATTTGAGGACAAGGGTTATATTTTCTTTTATTAGAGTCTTGCAGAAAGGCAATGGTGACGAATGGTTATTGATGTTGCACCACCAGTACAAGTTGAAAATGTTGGTTGTTGTGTCGTGTTGTGTATTTAGGTAAAGACCTTATCAAAAGGTTCCCTTGGATAGTTTTGCTGCAGTTGATTCCAACAAGGTCATCTAAAAGGATGTAAATAAATACAAGTGAATGTAAGATATAAAGAAAGAGAATGGGGTTTGCATATACCAGTATATAACTGGCAGTTCTAACAAGTGGAGGTGGCTTCTAATGTTGCCCAGTTGGAGAGCTTTTAAACTATGTTTCAGGCCGTAGATTGATTTGTCGAGATTGAAGGCTATGAGCTTACATGAGTTGAGTGTGCTACTCTTGAAGAAAGCTGTGCTTAAGACTAAGAAATTTTTGGAGACACATGGAGCAACCTAGAGGAAATATTTTTGGATGCTCTAACTCTTGGGCAATTGGGTAAAGAAAAAGAAATATATGGGTACTCCAATTATTTTGCTTGGGTGAACCAATGGAGACAGTCAAACTTCAATAATTTTTTTGGTTAAATGTCTCACTTGTTCTATTCTTCAAGAATCTCTTGATGTTTTGCACACGTAGAATATGGAAGCCCATTCATTGCTTTGTTATATGGCAAAATCCAAAAGGTTGCTAATTTAGTGTAGTACAGGTTGTTGCCATTTCGATTTGTGGCAACCAAATAAGCTTTCCTAATTTGTTTTGGACACAATATACAACTTACTGCATCACTTGCGAATTTGTTGTTATAAAAGGTTGATGGTTGGAGCAGAATACATGGTTTTTTTTTACTTCTGACCATAGCAATGGTTAATTATGATGAAAAGGTTTACAAAGAAATGGATTGGTCATTACAAAGCTTGCAACAACCTTACTTTGCCATGCATACGTGGCTAGAAAATTGTGAGTGAGCTGCAGTTCTTTTTTCTTGAAGTAGCATTAATTTTGCAGCCCTCTGTGTAATATAGATTCTCTGGAAGTATTCTGCCCTCTAGTTTGAGATCTTTACCTGCTGTACAATGGAGAACCTGGACTCATGATCTCTACATTTATGAGGCCACGGATCGAGCCCAAGATTCCATATAACTGGTCTTGAACAACAAGGAGCCAAGCTGGTTTCAGGTATCATTAACAGATGGGGCATGAAGTCCTTTCAACTCCCATTTGGAAAATCATTTATTCCTTATTTTTCCTTTAATTTACCAATCATCAAGCTCTGAGATTATAAAGGGATCTCTAGAATTGTGTAGAGAGCTTAGTTCTTGACCTAAGGGTTTGTTTGCCAGTGGCTTCAATTCCTTCTCTACTTTATTTACACTACACTTCATTGTAAAATCACTATACAAAAGAAAATACCTAGTGAGGTCTTTTCTTTTCTATAGTGAAACACGGGTTGGGAGATGCGTTTTCGTTACCTCTGCAATTGTAAACTCACTAGCAAAATGTGGTCCATTGGCTACCCTGGCATTCTTGAAAATATTGGAATTCCCTAATGCAATATAAACCTATTGGACCAATCACTAGTGATATGAGTCACTATAGAAGCTTATAAGTATGCTTAGAAAGAAAATGGCAACTCAACAAATGAGCAAAGCAGCTACCTAGTTATTCTTTTTTTTTTCTCCCCATATAGGCTAATTTATGTATATTCTACTAGAGTTAACCACTCCATAAATTTTTGAAAGATTCAAGTCTTGTGACATACAAACTGTTTATACGTTATATGATTTTAGAGACATGCCATCGCTATGATGTACATAGCGCACTGGCATGCTATATCAAATATAGTAGTGACTAGTAACTATAAGTTACACCTAGGATTGGCATGCTACCTTGTATAGCTTGAAAAAATGGCTGAGATAAATAGATTTGTGTGCATCAAGTCATCCATTTTTTATGACTTGATCCATTCCATATGGAACGGATCTTTTGGCAGGCTTTGGAAAATGAAAGTATTCGGTGCTCTGTTTTTCTTCTATCTGTTTCCTTCAAATTCATTGTGAATCCACATGAAGAAATTTTATGTTGTTATGTTATTTTACTGCACATTATTTTTTAATGTGTTGGCATTAAGAATAATTGCGGGTTATTAGAGCTTATTATTTTAAGGACATGGTTTTTATGCGAGCAAGCCCATATGCCCGCATACAACCTCCACCGTCCAACTTTGTTGGATAGTCAAGATTGCAATGTATCCCTGAAATCTCCACCATCCAACTAAGTTGGACGGTGGATGTTGTATGCAGGCATGCGGGCCTTCCAGCGTAAAACAATTTACCTTATTTTAATCTAGGATTCCCATTAGTGACATGTCTTTTTGTGCAGTCCCAAGAAATTTCAGATTACTGGAGGAGCTGGAAAGAGGAGAGAAAGGTATTGGGGATGGAACAGTTAGCTATGGCATGGATGATGGAGATGACATATACATGCGATCTTGGACGGGCACCATCATTGGTCCTCGGCATGTATGAAGCAGCTTTTTTTAAATTTTTTCTTCTCTAAATGGAAAAGGAGTTTGTGAAACGAACACCACACAAAAAGCTGGAAATTCCCACATGAAAGCTTAATTGGTTTCATTTTATCCTCCTATGTGACTCGAGATTTGCTTTCATAAATCCGTGTGTGTGAGAGGCGTGTTTGCTTACGAGAGGTTGCAGTTGTCCAGGTGAATGGCATGTTTATAGCAATTTTTTAATGAACTTGTTGAGCTTCCAATCAATTTACTTATATAGTTCTCACATTCATTTCTATTTGGGTCATTCTTTCAAGGCCATTTTTCTTTCCCAAATTTTGCTTTTGATATGTTTTTCTGTTTGTTATTTTTTGTTCTTTTTTGTTAAGCTGTAGATAACTACCTCTTGGCTTTGGTTCCTTCTTACACCCATTTAAATGTATCATGAGAACCAACAAAATGCCAAGCCTAATCATTGATTGACTTTCTTGGACTAATTCTTGAACTCATCAAATCATCAAAAGCCAAGCTGATATAACCCTCGCCTTCTACTGGATGAAATAATTTGGGGCCTGCAAGCTAGGTTTCAGCCAGTGTGCAGAAACTCGTCTTGGCCAGGGAACTCACCCCCTGGCCGAGGCGAGTTACTTGGCTGAGTCCAGTCACACATAGAGGTCCGAAAGGCCCTGAAAAAATATTTAAAAAATCAACAAAAACTTGACAAAAATAAAAAAACACTTATTAAAAGTAAATTCAAACAAAAAACGCCTTTAAAAAGTTAAAACAAGGTTAAAAATGTAGAGAAAACATGGATTTAGAAAAAAACCCAATTTGCAGTTTTGGGATATATTTTAAAAATCCAAAAAAGAAAATATAAAAATGTGATTATGGAAAAGAAACACTCACCTATCTTTGCCAAATATATCTAAATTATGTAAGAAAAAATTGTATAACATTACTTTAATTTTTTACAACTTTTTATTGTTATTATTATTATTATTAATATTTTTAATACCCCGAGTTGTGTGACGACTCGGGAGTACTCAGCCTCACCCATCGGGCGAGCCCGAGTGGGCACGGTGGAGCCCTGGTACACTGCTTTCAGCCTACCTATGGATACATTGTCGCTGTACATGAAACAATGTTGATTCTTATAATTATTGGAGTAAATAGGGGAATGAGTAGAAGAAGGGAGAATAAATATGAGTAGAAGAAGGGAGAATAAATATGAGTAGAAGAAGGGAGAATAAATATGAAGTAATTCCCATTTTCATTGATGTTGGTTGTTGGAAGGTTCTTACAATCCTTAAGCCATGTTAGAGAGTTGTATGTTAAGTTTTCCTTTACTCTCACTAAATCTACTTGCATCTGTTTTATGGTTGGTACTGTACTTGTGTTTCTCTCTAATTACCAATTTCTGAGTTCCATTGCAGTCAGTCCATGAAGGTAGAATCTATCAATTGAAGCTATTCTGTGACAAAGATTATCCTGAGAAGCCTCCAAGTGTTAGATTCCACTCGAGAGTCAACATGACCTGTGTGAATCATGAGACTGGAGTGGTAAGAAACCAGTTTTGGATATGCACAGTATAAAGCCCTTCACGTGCCAGACACTCTCTCTCTCTCTCTCTCCAAAAACTAGTGGTAGTGGTCCCATCGAATTTCCATGTTGCAGCCTCAATAGTGTGTGCTTGGCCCTTTGTCACCAGTAAAAAAATACAAAACATTGCTGACCAAAGAGAGATTCCCAATTATGTTGATGATCAAGAGAGTATTTTTTTTTTTTTTTTTGTAGTTTATCTAAGTAAACGATTTTAGCTCAACAATCAACAAAAAAACTCATGTTATCTCCTGTAATAATCCTTTTTTGATAGTTTACTCCAACAGTGCTACTGTTATTAAATTATCGGTGGAGTGAAACGGTTATCATGGTTCTTCTTTATTGTTTCTCCACTATGACATTGGAGGAGGATAAAGGATAGATCAGTCGGGTTTTGACCCATAATTTTTTATGATTGCTGATCTATAAATTTACTGGGGTTTTTCAGGTAGAGCCAAAGAAATTTGGAATGCTAGCCAATTGGCAACATGAGTACACAATGGAGGACATATTGACTCACTTGAAGCTGGAAATGGCAGCACCATATAACAAGAAACTGGTTCAACCTCTGGAATCCACCTTCTTTTAGAGCCAATTGAGCACTTTTATTACATTCGAACTTTTATGTAATTTCTCCCTTCTTTCGAGTGTGGTGATTGTCAAGACCACTTGTGTAATCTCTCCATCTTTCTTCTTGTGTTGGGGGTTCTCATGGAGCTTCTGCTCTATGCAACTTGCATTGAACTGTTATAAGTGAGTGAGAAAATATACTACGCTAAGCTATACTATGTTATAAATGTTAAGCCTTTGCATTGAACTGTTATATCAATTTATCTATTTTGCAATGTTCAATAACTCGGTTTGGGCATGGCACTTGGCCTTGCCCGAGTTGAGTAACTCAGCCGAGTTGTGTACACCTTAAAAAAAGCAAAAAGAAAATCCTAAATACTGGGATGAAATGGTTAGAGGGGAAATAGGCTTGAGGGAGAGAGAGGGCACTTGGGAAGAGGGAAAGGGGGAGACAAAAAATGTGAACAGATTTCCACCCCTGTTTTTTGAGAGATGGAGATTGCTTTAGAGAGATCATGCCATAGATGGAGCTCGGGTTTGGAGAAAGAGAACCCGGCCTTGACCCCCAAGACTGAGTGGACTTGATGAAGTTCTGATCACTGAATTTTTTTTTTTTAATTCACTGATATTTTCTGATTATTTATTCTTTTAGACCATGGACCTCAAAATTGATCATATCGCTTGTTCTTTTGACAAAGCAATGGATAGGAAAACAATTTCAATACTGACAAATCACTTTGAGGAAAACAATTTGAATACTTCAAAAAAAACCAACTTGAATACTTTAGAAATTCAATGAACTCAAGCCCACCACCAAATTATCCGAAAAGGTAAATTGAATTCCACTATCAACAAATTGAATGAATGGTTACATATCGACACTATCAACAAATTGAATGAGTTGTCACAGATAGGCATTCTCGAGGATGAGTCCCGTCTGGACTCGATCCCAGCTCTCAAAGTTCTCCAGGAGCGAGATTGTTGTTACAGATAGGCACTCTCGAGGATGAGTCCCGTCTGGACTCGATCCCAGCTCTCAAAGTTCTCCAGGAGAAAGATTGAGGCAGGAGACAGATGAGTCCCGTCTGGACTCGATCCCAGCTATCAAAGTTCTCCAGGAGCGAGATTGAGGCAAGAGAGTATGGGTGTAGCTCTCAAAGTCTCTCAAAGTTCTCCAGTAGCGAGATTGAGGCAGGAGAGTATGGGTGTAGCTCTCAAAGTCTCTCAAAGTTCTTCAGGAGCGAGATTGAGGCAGGAGAGTATGGGTGTAGCTCTCAAAGTTCTCCCGATTGATGTTACAGATAGGCACAGATAGGCATTCTCGAGGATGAGATCCCGTCTCTCGAGGATGAGTCCCGTCTGGACTCGATCCCAGCTCTCAAAGTTCTTCAGGAGCGAGATTGAGGCAGGAGAGTATGGGTGTGTTGAGGGAGCGAAATCCTTGAAATTAAATTACCAAATAGGAGCTAGATTGAGGCATGAGAGTATGGGTGTGTTGGGGGAGCGAAATTCTTGATATTAAATTACCAAATAAATCTTCGATCGAGAGTGTATAGGTGTTTTTGAGATGGGTGTTTCGGGAGAGCTAAATCCTTGAAATTAAATTACCAAATAAATGTTTTGAGATGGGTGTTTTGAGAGAGCTAAATCCTTAGAAATTAATTACCAAATAAATGTTATGAGATGGGTGTTTTGAGGGAGCTAAATCCTTGAAATTAAATTACCAAATAGATTGAAATTTAGTGCCTAAAATCAGGAGGATTTCCTGTCGAATCGAATCAGCTAAGGTGAGATCGACTTGGATCAGATGGAGAGAGTGCCTTCGAGTGTGTGGTACAGAAAGTCAGAGTATCCCTTATAACTTTTGGATGGCCACACCAGGAAATTCGGTGTCCATTGGGAAACGATCTACAAGATTGTATATCAATCCAAATTCCGGTTCGAGGTTTTCAGCCCAAAACTCTCGAATCTTAATCTTCTTAGATTTCATGGCTGTTTTCATTTCCGGGCAGTGGTTAGTAGGTTTTGGAATCGCTAAGTCTTTGTTTGACAAAATTCTGGGAAGGCGTGTCAAGAAAAAACAAGGAAAGTTTCTAAAAGTTAAGCAAAAAAAAAAAGAAAAAAAAGAACGTTTCTTAAAACTTAAAGGACATACTTCCATCTTGTCCAAATGTTTTCAATTTTTATTTATTTATTTCATATTCATGATCTCCATGTTAAAAACATTTTCTAAATACAATTTGATCCTAATTTTTCGAGAATATAGAATTTTTATCGTCAAGCCCGCATTTCCGCAATATGCAGAGGAAGAACTCGAAACAACGAAGAGTTTTCTAAAAAGTTAAGTAAATATCTAAAATTAGAGGGAGAATCTGATATATTTCAACTAGAATCGGATACTCCATTAATTAAGATCAAGATGGATTGAATGAGAACGTAAACGGTCTTAACATCATCCACAACACAAAATATCCCACTTAAATCAAATTTCAAATTTTATTTATTGGGGAAATAACAAGAATAACAATAATAATAATGATAATAATAATAATAATGATAATGATTATGATAATAATAACGACAATTAAAACAATAGTAAAAGTAAAAATAGGGACATATCTTGTGCCCAATTCAGATTTCAAAGTTGTTTGTAAAGAAAAAAAAAAAAAGATCAAGAACAATAAATTTTTTTGAGATTAGTTTGAGAACCGATTTAGGAAATGACGTCCTCCCTAGTTTTCTAAGAGATTTAGGACTCAGAAGTAGACCTCAATTCACTGTCAATTTTTTATTAGGATTCATGAATTTGGAACTTCAATAATAGTAGGGATTTTAGGACCTTAAATACATTACAAGTCACTATTATGGTTCTATCTTTTGCCTAAGATTATGAATATGAGGCTCCAAAATAGTTAGCTTCAATAGGGATTTTTGGACCTTAAGGGGCCGTTTGGATACCCTGAAATATATTGTTTGTGAAATATATTACTAGTGTAATACATTACATGTAAATGGATTATCACTGTTTGGGTATTACCTGCAAATGGATTGTCACTGTTTGAGTAGTATTTAGATGCAACTTGGGAAATACATTGTTTGAGTAGTATTTAGACGCAACCTGAGAAATACATTGTTACTGACTATATCCAGAACTTACAATCCCTATTAGTATATAGCTTAAATTTTATCCCTACTATATGTAGCTTAAACTTTATAATTGCATAATGCATAAGAATTAGCCTTTACAATTTTATCAGGCATAAGAATTAGCCACACCTTTTGTATGCCTTTGTATCTTGACTTGGAATCACATGTTTTCAAGGTGTTAACACTTTGGAATAACATACTTTTATTATGATAAGCCATCATATTTTTTATGTTTTATTTTTTTGTGCTAAAGCCTTTCGATCGTCTCTTTCTAGAAAACTTCTATGGGCAAATTCAAAAGAAAAGAAAAAGTTTGGAGAAATTTGGCTATTAATCTAGAAGGCTTTATGACTAAATAAGATGTATTGGAGGATAAATTATGTTGGGGGCATTGGAGGAGATTGAAGAGGTAAATTAATTTTTAAAAGTTATGAAAAAAACATAAACAATTCAAGCACAATAATTTAACGATTATATGTGAGTGAACTCAAGTATTTCGAATTTATCAGCAAACAAGCAAAAAAAGAAAAAATAAACAAACCAATGTTAGCAGAGAACCCAAATCCGTTTATTGTTTTTGGAACAACAACTAGATCCAGAACTCAAAAAATAAATCTTCTATATCTAGAACAATAGCTATAACACTCGTTGCACAAGATGGGGATGCTGGGTATAAATATTGGATATCTAGAAGAATAGCTCAAATTGTGGTTGCAAAAAATGGGGATGCTGGGTATAAAAAATATGAGGATACTGGGTATAAATCTTGGATATCTAGAACAATAGCGACAATTGTGGTGGTGCGGATTTTAGCCGGGCTAAAGATAAGGATACTGGGTATAAATCTTAGATATCTAGAACAATAGCTACAACTGTGGTTGCAAAAGATAGGGAACTGGTTTTAGCCGTTCTAGTGCTAGTTGAACAAAAGGGCTGTCGGGTTTGCTCGTTGAAAGATGGGACTATTGGGTTTGAACACCGTAATCACGGGATTTTTTTGGTAGAGAGAGGCGTCCGAAAGATTTACCCCCAATTAGTGTAATAGATTTTTTACCTTTAATCTAGTTTTATGTAATAGATTTTGAGGTTCCTAAACAGCACCTAAACACACTACGAACGGCCTAAATATATTACAAGTAAATATTATCGGTCTATTTTTTTTCTTAAGATTATGAATATGGGGCTTTTTTGCCTAAGAATATGAATATGGGCTCCAAAATAGTGCAGATAGAAGAAATGAAATAGATGATCCAGAATCATACCATTTCAACCATCAATGTTTTCTTGTTTTAATATCATGATCGAGTATCTCAAAATTTGGAATTAAAAGATGGAGGTCGACTCACTGTAGGACGTTCCTAAAACTACCTTCTACTAAATTTTGATTCCTTTATGAAATTAATTTACGGGTGTGGTTTGCATAAGGCGGAGGCCCTAAACAATCAAAGTAAGACGCACCTTCAAATAATGCTGGAATATGTTGTTTCGGTGTAAAAAATCTTTATGGTGACCTTAAAATTTATTTTCATCTTGAATTATAAAATTTAAAGATTAAAAAAAGTCTATATCGAGAAGGTCTTCTTGAATTATAAAATTTAAAGATTAAAAAAAGTCTATATCGAGAAGATCTATGGATACTTGAGAATCTTAAAAATTGATGGTCTAGATAATACATTACAAGATAAACTATGTCAAAGACTTGAAATCTATTTTTTCTCATGTCGATACATCTAGAGGTCGAGATGATTGAATTGAGAGTTTTTTAGCATTAAAATATACCTCTTCTAATGAAATTTTGAGTTGCACCTTAATTTAGTTGTTTAGGGCTCACCCTTATGTAACTAACTGTTTCCTTAACCAAATTAAGTAACCTACCGAAACAAATGTAAATAACAGGGCTTTAATACTGGCATTGGTGAAAGAAGAAAGGATACCGAATGCAAACTTTACATAGTACATGGTGCATAACTCAAAACTAGTGTTAGCACAGGGTATAACTCAAAACTAGTGTTATGCACGTGCAACGTTACACGTGATCTGATATGATTGTAATTGATTTTGAGTTACTTTAAATATAATCAGATTGACTAATTACATTCATGTTAA